CCGTATGTTCTAAGGTTTCGGAATAACATGACATTCTACCATGAAGCATGTAAATAAATCTTTGCCATTACCAATTCTTATTTTGAATTGGTAATGTCCGTACGGCAAGACTGGGAAATTTGGGAACGTCCAATCGATCGGTTCTTGGTTGACTACGTAAACACCCTGGAAGAATTTTAAAACATGGATTAACTCAAAACCTCAAAACATAGCCTGCTTAGTAGGCTATACAGGTGGGTAGAACATTCACCACGCAATATAGGCCTGTGGTAGAGCCTGTGGTCCAGCAGCCTGCCTACTTACAGCAGGAATAATGCACGGGGATTTAGGCGCCTTGCCATCCTTGTCGAACACTACGTGATAAAATCCGGGTATATGTGATGAAATCATTGAGCATGCCTTATCTTTGAAGTCAAAAATAAACGCATTTTCTTTCCATTGGTTATTATTCCGAACATCCAGGTTTACTCTCACCTGTAGAAAAAGTCACACTAACAAGGCAGATGTACACCAGACCACGTCTCGCGTAACAGGCTTCGCGATATCTAACGAAACACTGTCATGCTGCGACGCGCCTGGCACACATCTACCTTGGCCTGCGGCGCTGACACCCGAGTCGGGTAGTGGGAAAATGTACACAAAGGTACGGGCCTACGGCCCGCCAACGGCCCGCCAACGGCCCGCCAACGGAACGCCAACGGCGAATCACCTCGACTAAGCATGCAGGCCCGTATCTTTGTGTACACACTGCCACTACCCGACTTTGGTGTCAGCGCCGCACGCCAAGGCAGATGTATGCCAGGCTCGTCGCAGCGTAACAGTGTTTCGTGAGATATTGCGAAGCCCGTTACGCGAGACGTAGTCTGGCGTATATCTACCGTGTAAATTTAATTTTACTAAATATGAATTAAATTGTACATTCCTATATATGGAATTGTACATTTTTATGCAAGAAATTGTACATATTTGTGCAATTAATTGTGCATTGATACGCTCTTTTCATTGTACATTTCTTTTGCACAATTTACCCCCTACATGATTTTTCCCCTGCCGCGCCGCGGACGCGCGGCCGAGGCCGGGGACCCGCTGTCGGGGGTAAATTGGCGCGAAAGTGACAAAGTCCTAAAATCCAATCTTGCACATTGCTCCCGACATTACAGCACCGTCCGCGCGACGTCGCTGGAAACTCCTCGACGTGTATTTTCATTGAAACTGCGTTCTGGCATACCGATTTTGGGAACACCCTACCCCTGGAGGATAGCAGCCAGGTACCCACGGTGCGGCGGCTAGGTAGGCAACCTTCCGTACTGCGCGTGGCATCAGAATCTGCCCTTTTCGAGAATGACTACGCGTCCGCGACCACGTTCACCGTGCAGCATCGAACTGCCGTGGCCGTTTAGAGAACCATCCAGAACCACAGCTTCCCGGGTTCAATTCTCGGACGAGGCGCCGCAATTTGTGCGACGTCACACCCACACACCACTTCAATTTAGGATGTGCACAGGATTACGTGATTACAGGGATTTCACGTGAATTTTAGAGGATTACACATGAATTGTGTTCAAATTATGGCTCTAAGACCATTAAATTAGGACAATAAGGTGAAACTCAGAGGTAACTAACTGTCGGAAATTTGGTCAAGTATTACAGGGAATACCTAAGGATTACATAGGGATTACACCTGCACCTGTACACAGGATCACGCGAGTGGTGTGGTGGCTCCCTCGCCCCCAACCGACCGGCATCCCCACGCCACGCCACGTGCCACGAGAGGGAACCCCCACCACCACGGTAACGCATCCCCACCACCATCGTCACGGACCTCAACTCCTCGCGACGGACCCGCCACCCATCCCCTGGCCAATAGGCAACCGCCACTGAGAGCCACTACTGTACTAGTACTGTACTGTACTGTACTAGTACAACTACTTTTGCTCAGTCATGGGTTTCGTGCCAACATCGTTCAGTGGAAAGTTTGGCTGCAAACCGAGAAATGTGTTCATCACTGGTACAGTGTTGATCAGTGATGGTTAAGGGGTTATTAACCCTTGAGATGGCAGAGTAAAAACGACCCCAACGGGTTCGTTTCAAATAAGGGCATGTTTTATCGTGCAGTGAGCCAAGCCAAAGACAAATCTGATCAAAGAATAACAATATCTTACCCAGGCGCTATCGTCTATTGATATTGAACCAGACATATTTCCACTAAGGAGTTGCAATTGTTTCGGTTTCTGTGGATTGTAGTGTGTAACTCTCAAATTCCATGACCATGCGCCCGCCGCTTTTTCGCACTGGTAAAACTTATCGGCGTAAGATAGGAATGGGCCCTGAAAAGAAGAAGTTTTTACTGCACAAAAAATGAGATCGTGGATTCCGGCGAGGGTAACGAATTTGCGTCGTCTATGTTCTCCTATCCGATGGTACAGTAGCCACTCCGATAGAGTCCACTCCGAGGAGAAAACTACTGCACGGTAAAAAATAACACCCAGAATTACCACAAAATCTCCCGTTAATATTTTCATTGACTCCGTGTTGTTGTAGAACAACAAAAGTTGTTGTAGAACAACAAAAGTTGTTGTAGAACAACAAAAG